TGCAAGTCAGTAGTAGTGGTTTGCTAGCTAATCATATGTGTACTAGGTCTCAGAAGAGGTGCTGGTTGTTTGAGCCTTTTTCCTTTTCTTTTCTCGAACACTCGTCGTGGTGCGTGTCATTGTGTATTAGAAGAAGGATGCCGAGACGGCGCTTGCCTTGTGTGGTGTTTGCTCTCTCGCGAGAGGCGATCAACGAGCTTGTGAGTTCTATGATGTGATCAGAATGTCAGTGCTGATGATCTTTGATGTTAGTACCTACTTATGCTTTCTTTTCAGTGAAGTATCAGACTTGCTTACATGTGCTCTCTTTACATGGGTAAACACACGGGGAGAGAAGGACTCAGTGCAGTTACATGTTCACCACATTTTCAAACATGACTCATTTCACCACAGTAGAAAAATGTAGCACCCACACTCACATACACTCACTTTTTACATTGTCTAGCTTAACCAGTGTTGCTTACCCTCACACGCTGTTCTAGTAAGTATGTTCAGATGGACGGGCATCACCAATCCGAGACGTCGCTGCGCATCGACGCGCTGTAGAGGAAGCCGCCCCTCCTGCTGCTGGCGCTGCGCTGGACGCAGCCGGTGAGCTCCTGCGACACCTCCGACATGCGCGGCCGGAGCTGCGGGTCAGACTGCAGGCATTTTGCAGCCACCAACAAAGAGCAGTTTTCAGATTTATTTTTTTACATGTGAGAACTGATCAGTTTCTCTAAGGATTTCAGTGAGAGGGCTGAACCTGGACGCAGCGGGCGATCACGTCGGCGAAGCGGGACAGCGCCTTGGGCGGGTACAGGCCGCGCAGGGCCGGGTCTGCCACCGATCCCAGGGCGTCGCTGTCGTGGAGCTGCGGCGTCACAAACTTGACCAAGGACTGCTCATTTGTCGGCTTTGAGCTGGGGATCAGACAACAGCTCACATATTACCATTTCAGTTCACAGGAATTTTGCAGGAAACAACTGCTTGCTTTACCTATCGTAGGACTTCCGGCCGGTTAATAGCTCGAGCATGACCACACCATAGCTGTACACGTCGCTCTTCATCGTGTAACCCGATGGCCTTGTGCACTCCGGGGGACTGTACCCTGGCCCCAAGCTCTCGTTTGGATCCTGCAGAGAATTTCCATGTCGGAAGATTTTGCCCTCATTCTACGAGCAAGCAAAAATCGTTGTCTCATGGCGCAAACAAGCAAACCTCGTAGAAGAATGCGAGGCCGCAGTCGGAGAGGTGAGGGTTGAGGTCGGCGTCGAGCAAGACATTGGATGACTTTATGTTCTTGTGGATGATCGGAGGCGAGCAGATCTCATGCAGGTACCTAAACAGAAACAAAACCTTTAGCATCTTAATTATCTTATGAACTGAGTATGCTTCAGTGTTGCTTGTCAACTTACTCCAGAGCCTGAGCTGTACCGAGAGCGATCCGAACGCGGGTATCCCAGGTGAGAGGCTTGCTGTAATCGTCTGACAAATGGAGGAACTGATAGAGGGACCCGTTCATATGGTGCTCATACACCATGATGTAGTGCCCGGGCTCCGCGCAGTAGCCCACAATCTCACAGATGCTCGGTTGGCGCAGCCTGGAAATGCAGGTGACAAGCTCCACAAAGTCGCTTCTCTCCGAGAAGCTCAGCGGATCAAACTTCTTGATAGCCAGCACCTGAAAAATCATCATGGTAAACAATAAGCTTCGATTATGGGACATGGTCATCATGTCCAGGCCTCTTGACTCTCTCCAACCATTTTTCTTCAGGCCGCTTGACAGAAATAAACTGCCAAAAACATTCAGTTCAACAGCATTTGGCTGCAACATGTTTTATATGCATATCTGACACCATTTTGTAGATGAAACTTAAGTTCTAGGCAACGTTGACTTCTCGAGATGATACTGTGGGATAGTTTATTTTTTCTCTGAATTTGGAGGGAAATCATGAGGACGTACCTGTCCGTTGGCATATTTCGCCTTGTAAACCCGACCGACCATTCCCTGGCCTATTATCCTGCTACTGTGCCAGTTGCCAGTGGCCGCTTGTAGCTCCGACGACGAGTAGGTCACCAGGCTGATCGGTTCCAAGATCCGCCTAGAATTGTTTAGCATTATCTGATACTTGTTGTCGTTCATCGTCTTGTAAGGCACAGAAGGCAGCGTTACACTGTCAATCGACGTCGATTTCTCCAGCGGCTTTATGCTGACTATTGAAGAATGGCCTGCAAAACGGAAGACAAGAAACCTTATTGCCCAAAGCCAAAATGTACAAGTACCTGCAGACACTACTACTGGTGGTTGCATCAGTAGACGTGCTCTTGTCGAAAGGAACGTAAACTGTCGGTTCTGACCTGACTCGTCCATGTAGTAATGAGACGAGACGGGAGAGGATCGCTTCATCTGCAACACTGACAAGAGAATAACGGCTGCAAGGAGCACAGCTATGACCATTGCTCCGATAAAGAAACCGTTGATCCCGACGTCACTCCCTTCGCTCGATGAGGCTCCCGCCGAAGACCCCTTCTCCATGCCGGGAGGAGCCGACCCGGATGACCACTGGTTCCCACCAGTCCTTGAGAATGTAGTTAGCACTGTCAGAACTCATGAAATTGTGGTGCAAAAGGAGCAATGTTGGGTGCAGGTACCACTCACTTGAGGCTGTCGATTTTTTTCAGTTTACTTGGAATCCACCCGGTGAACTTGTTGTTCTGCAGATTCCTTGAGCACAAAGGGAGGAAAACCGTTCTAGCTTAGTTCTGAATCATCATACTCATGCAAATATATGGATCTGAATCAGTAACTTTTCAAGTAGACTAAGCAAAGTTAAGAATTATTTTTACATGCATTTATATTAACAACACTGCTTCTTTTGCATTTCCAGGTTGAAGTAATTAACCAGAAGCATGCACTTTTAACCGTGGCGATAAAATTGGTTTGCGATGGCAGTGTTTACTCGGGGTATACTTACAGATCCTCCAGAGAAGAAAGTTTGGCCAGAACGTCAACATCGCCAGTGAACTGGTTGCTCTCCAAGTTCCTGGATACATATATATATTTTGAAAAGATTGACAGTCATTTGTTGATGCAAAGGAGAAATAGCCAGTGAAGTTCCTAAGAATCCGGTTGCCTTACAGCGTCTTGAGGCCTGTGAGGTGCTGGAAACTCTGGGGCAGGTTACCGGACAAGCGGTTGTCAGAGAGATCCCTGATGACACAAATAGAATTGCTTACTATCAGAAGAAAATTAATAAGCTCCGAGCAAATCAAGCATATGCATTTGACCGGAAAAAGAAGTCAAGCATCACAACCTCATCTCTGTTGCCGTGACATTATATACAAACTAGTAGTAAAAACTGTGGTAAATTTGTGAAGAGATGCTAGCTACAATGGACTGTGAATCTGATTTTGCTTAACTTACATTTTCGAGAGCTTTGGAAGTTGCGAGAACATGTCGGTCAACTGCCCGTTTAAGTGATTGCTACCGACGTTTCTGCGGTCCGTTGAAAAGGCGGTTTGGTGACCGATTCAATCAAGAAAAACAATCATCATGAAAAGAAAAAAAAAAGACAGCAGCATGAAATAGATTCTTACAGTGTCTCCAGATCAGACATCTGAGATACCGACCAAGGAATCCCGCCGGTAAACGCATTCCCTTGCAGATTTCTGCATCACAACATATGATAAAACGCACTGGTCTAACTAATGGGGTTGCCCGTGGCAACAGCAACCATGGAAGGGCAACCTGGTGCATGTAGCTCCCGCTTGCGCAGGGTCCAGGGAAGGGTCCGACCACTGGAAGGCAAAAAAAAAAACCCAGGAGAATGAACTCACAGCTGAACCAGGTTGGGCGGGAGCGCGTAGGGGATCTCGCCGCTGAGCTTGTTGTCGCTCACATCGCTGTGCTACGCAAAAGAAGGGAAAGCTGAACTAAGTTGCGCAACCAAGGGCGGCGGCGGTCGATGGACCGGAGAGGAGGTTCGGGTTCACAGTTGGGCATGACTCACAATTTGGTTACCGATTTGAGGCTGGACAGCTGGAAGCCGAGGTTGCCGGTGAGGTCGAGCCCCGAGAGGTCACTGCTCCATGCAGAACGGTCAAGCCAGAAAAACGAAGCTGTTAATTACATTCTGTGTGAGGAAGAAGGGGGGCTTGGGGTTTCACAATGGTCTTGAGCAAGAAGTTTGGTTTGGTGGTTCGGTCCCCGTTGTTTGGCGGTTATTACATTTTGGTGACGGAGTTGTCGCTGCAGTCGACCCCTCGCCAGCCGTCGTCGTCGTCGCAGGGGTCGCCGCCGTCTGCCTTCCAGTTGTCCAGCTTGGACGGCTTGTGCATGCTGGTGAAGAGCACGTTCAGCGCCTCCACTGACGAAACAGGGCGGGCAAACGTCACAAAATGTTCTGAAGACAGGAAACGGGAGGGGAAATTCCCCGATCTCTCTCTCGCTCACCGTCGGCCCGGTCGGTCTTGGCCACCGCGACGGCGACCGCCGCGGAGAGGAGGAGGAGGGCGGCGAGGCCGCCGGGTACCGGCCGCCGTGGACGGGCCATGGCGGGTGGACGGGGACGACCAAGCGAGGGAGGGAGGCGTGTCAGGGGGCATGCAGGAGGAGGTCACCCCTCCTCTCGCGTGTGGGCATGTGGATGGGGGTTTCTAAAATTGGGAGGGAGGCGGGAGGAGGGTGGGGATGATGGCGCCGGCCGGGCGGCGAGAGTGGCGGGAAGCCCCCCGTTTTGAAGGTCCCATTTCCCATGGGGCGTCTCACCTGCCTTGGTCCAATCGATAGATAAGCTATCTCAGATTACCATCAATAAGCTCCGTCGTAGTCTAGGTGGTTAGGATACTCGGCTCTCACCCGAGAGACCCGGGTTCAAGTCCCGGCGACGGAAACCTTTTTATTTTTTCTACTGTAGAAATGCAACATTCTCTAATTACGTTCTTTACAAGAAAATTTTCTCTTAGATTTTTAATCATGTGAATAAGCATGTGTTTTTTTGCAAGTAGGGAGAGATACATCATATGGCAGGAGTCAGAGAGCATATTTGCGTGCACATATTAAGCTGAGAGCAAGAATTATGATAATGGAGGAATGCACAGATTGATGGACAAAATGCAGAGACTAATTTCTCTGCTAGATGAAGCAGGTGGTATATTTGGATAAAAAACAAATGCAGACCGCGTGCAAAAACGGACATTTCAGATTATCAGCGTTGTATTTTCCCCTCGAAAAAGTCACAATATCATCGTACATATCATCTACTGAAACCAGTGTAATTCCACAACAACATCCAGAACTCGAAATCAACTTTACTCCTTCCCTTTCTATTCTCTCTATATATGTATGCTCTTGCAGAGGGAAACAATGGCCTAAAATAAGGAAGGAAACTCAACGGCTTCCATCCCTGGAGCCAGCTCTGCAGGATCCTGTGTATCTCAGGAGTCTAATGCCGACAGCGGCAATAGCAGCTGCGGCAATGTCATTGTCAGGTGGCCGCGCTCTACGCCGCGATGTGGTCGCTCAGCTTCCGCCCGCTCGTCTCCAGGGGGAAGTAGGACACGGCCACGGCCGACACGAGCATCACCGTGATGAACACCGCGATGGCCGCGGTCTGGTGGCATGCGTGCACCAGCCCGACGGCCACGAGCGGGCACAGGATCCCCCCGAAGCGGGCGATGGAACTCGCGAACCCCACGCCCGTCGCCCTCACGGCTGTCGGGTATATCTGCAGGGGACGACGGTGTAAGACGTGACGGTGTAAGACGTTTGACCAAAGAGGTTTAACAGAGTTAGAGGGCACTACTACCATGGCATGAACAAACCTCGGGGGCGTAGATGTGCAGCACGATGAAGCTGGCGGAGATGCAGATGCGCGCTCCAAACAGGAAGATGGTCGTCAGGGATTCCGTCTGAGCGAACATGAGAGGAGCTATGCACAGGCAACTGACGTAAAGCATCGAGGACATTGAGAGCTTGCGTCCGAACTTGTCCACGATGGCGGCCGACAGAATAAGGCCGGGAACCTCTGCGTCGATCAACATGATATGAATGAGAAGGATACTCTGGGAAGGATAGGTTAAAGGAAAAATGATTGGCCATAGGAGAAAGCATATATACCTCCAAAGCTAGTGATGAATACATTCCTGTAGAGATTAACATCAGTTGAGTGGGTTGTTTCAGCTGTTACTGCTCCTTCTGAGCCACAGATCCTATTTCCATGACTCAGCTCCGAGGTTAGCAGAACAAGACCGTAGTACAAGAAGGCGAGACCGAGAAAGACAGTCCAAAGAAGAAGAGTCGATCTAATTAGATTTGGGGACAAAAGCCTTAAGATGGCATTCAGGCCCCCAATCCCAGGTTTGCTGGCGTGATCGACAGGGTTGCTTTTCCTAGCTGAAACCAACTGCGCAGATTCTGCGGAATCTGCCATCTCGTGGAGCTCCACTCGATGGCCAGCACTAAGTCGTCCAGAAGGGAGAGCTACACGGTTTACTCGTGCCATTGTTTCCATAACATGCACTGCATCAGCTATTCTGCCCTTCATGCATAGGTATCTTGGTGACTCGAGTGTCAATGGGTAGAAGAGTAGTAGGGCAAATGATGGCAATGATGAGAGCGCTAGCAGCCACCTCCAGCCAAAAGCTGGCATCACAGCCTGCAAATTAAGCGGATTAGTGCCTGCAAATTGCCGTGTCTGTTTTTTAAATAGTACAGTTACAAATTAGAGTGAATGCTTGTGTGGTTTGATCTATTGTGCCAACAAGAATTTCACTAGATCACTCAGACAATGGTATTACTTTTGCAAAAATGTAGGAACTTACCCAAGCAAGCGAAGCTTCCAGTATTGTGCCAATGGTCCAAAATGCTGAGAAGATAACCATCCAAGTTCCTCGGTTAGGAGCAGGGACAAACTCTAGAAACCAAGAAGATAGAACTGGTCCACCACCCAGTCCAACACCAACAAAAAATCTTAGTACAATCAAAGATGAATAGTTTGGCGCGAAGGCACTGAGAAGACCAGCCCCACCGGTTACAAGGGCTGTGAAGTTGAACCCAACCCTGGAGAAGTACGAAGTAGCAACAATGAGGAAGAAAATACTTACAGCATGTAAAATATGAACTACAGACAAAAATAGATATCCTAAAAATGTATTTATTTGCCTCTCCCAGAAGACATCTTAATTAGTTAAACTTAACTAGTCTGGTATGCAGATTCAATGTAACTAGTCTGGTATGGAGATTCCCAACCTACATCCCATATGTAGCAACCTCTAGGCTCTAAACTTGAGAGTTATCGCGCCGGCAAGCTCTACCATAGACAGGGATTATATTAGCCTGCCTCTCCTGGAAGACATCCTAATTAGTCAAACTCAACTAAACTAGACTAAAGTTATCAAGTGAAAGATTATATATTTATGCCCATAGTATTAATGAAGCATCATTCCAAAACATTACTTGGCTCAATTGTGTATGCCTAGCTAAATTCCACAGCATAAATTCCGCTGTTAGGGTGAATGTATTTGAAAGACAAATTTCCAATAAATAAACAATGGAGAAGCAGGGAAGGACCTACCTTCTCCCATAGTTGTCCGAAACTAAGCCCCAGCAGTATGCTCCCACAAGCATCCCTAAAAATACAACACTTGTGATGAAACTCTCTTCCTGTGCAGAAAGCCCCCATTCAGCGTGAACCGACTGCCCAACAAACGACAGAAGCATCATTTCCATCGCCTCTGAGATCTTGGCCATCCCGGAATAGGCAAGCACGAACGCTTGGAACTTTCCAAACCCCATGGACACAAGCGCCTCATCGACAGTATAAGTTGACACACCGTCCTCCATCTGAAAAATAAGCAAACAGCCACGATACATGGATTAACCGGTTTCATGTTTGTTATCATGCTGCATTGGCAAAGAAGTCTTTTTGCGCCAGAAATAAAATGGGATTCGTGCTGTCTGGGGTCCTCCATCAGAAGTAAAAATAAGCTTAAGCTTAAGGACCATATTTATCCGATTTGATAATCCAAAAAGACAGCAAATTCCAGACAGCACCAACCAACACTCTGCTGTCTGGGATTCGTGCTATCAGAGTGTAGACAGCCCCCCTGCTCAACACAGATAGAGACCTAAGTTGTAGTGCCAGAGGAAAACAATGGATGACAGACTAACCCAACGATTTTCAGTTAGCTTCCCAAACAGTCAACAGCTAACAGAAAGATAACCAGACCACCGGATCAGATTTATAAATCTAGGCAACCTAGGCCTCATGTCTGGGCCACGGATCCTCGGCTTAACAGGTCGCGCATTCAGGCCGGACTGCTCGCTGGGGCCGGCAGCGCGTCGCCGGACGGGAACCGGCTCAAATGGAGCGTGTTACGAGGACGGAGCGCGGCGGCTGGGGCGGAGAGAGTGGGATACGGGGAGGGGTGGAGGGAGCTCGGCGGGGAGGAGTACCTCGTCGGGGTAGGTAGGAGGAGGGCCGGCGCCGGCGCGGCCAGGAAGTCGTCGGGAACGGACGCGACGGCCGGGTCGGGTGTTGGCGGCTCGTAATTTTTCCCTCTTTTTTTTTCTGAGACGACGAAAATGGAAAGAAAACGTCCGTTTTACGCCTAAGTAGCGGTTATCATGAGTGTGCTTTACGCCTAAGGATGGTCTGGAGGGATGAATAGTACTCCTATCATATTTCTTTTTGCATAACCCTCGTTTCAACGTATTTCATCATGAAATTTACACATTTGTGCATTATGCCTTCATCTATATTTGTTTTTTTTATATAATTTTTTGGATTGTAAGGATGAGAATTTTCATGAATTTTGAATTTTGCATTTGGAGGCCTCCAAAAATGTCAATGTATTTCATACAATAAAACTCTACGTGTCTACCCCTTTTTTTTTGAAAAATTCTGATCTAATATTAATTAAACATCATGACATTACAAAGAACAGGAGGAGTAAAAGACCACCTAGCGACGACTACAAGCACTAGAACGAACCAAAGGCGCGTCACCATCATTACCTTCCCTATATGGAGTATGGAAAACCTTGTTGTAGCAGACAATTGGGAGCCATCGTGCTAAGGCCCCAAAGGGCCAGCACATCAGAACAACAACCGTCATCGATGAAGAGAAACATAGATCGGAAGGATTTAACCCGCAGACAATCGGGAAGACATCGTGCTAAGACCCCAAAGGGTCAGCGCAACAGAACAACAACCGTCATCGATGAAGAGAAGCGTAGATCGGAAGGATTTAACCTGTAGACACATGAACGCAAGCGAACAAGGACCGGATCAACACAGATCCACCTAAGACAAGCATCGATCGAATCCCGTGACATCCGTCAGAGACACACCTTCACACGCCCTCCAACGACACAAGATGCGCCTCCGGGACTCGTCGCCGCCTCTCCTTCCCGAGCAGCACACAAAACCTAAACATACTAAAATAGCACCTAAAATGAAGCATGAGCCCTCCTGTCGCATGAGCCGAGATCCACTACGCTTCCATGGCCGTAAGGCCATAAGGGACGAGGTAGATGACGGCGACACTGACGGGAGGCAGGGAAACCATAAATGCCTTGGAGCCTTTTTTTCTCGGGAAGAAAGAAAACACACCTATGTATGTCCCTACTCTTGTTTGAGTCATATAATGGTTCCCCACCTTCAACCCCTTCTTCGTGGAACATTAAGGACAGTAAATTTGAACCTAAATTGAGCCTTCTCACGCGCTAAGCATTTCTAGCCATCTATTTTTGTGATCTTTGCATTCTGGCCGTCTGATCTGCTGTTCGCTCATGCCTGGTCCACACAATTGCAGAATCGTGGGCTAGCTGTCCTGTAGGCAGCTACTCCCGAGGCCGAAACGGATACCGTAAGTTAACTGAGCCTTCTCCCTCTACCGCACAACCCATCCTATGAATCATGTTAAGCGATGACGCCTCTACGAAGAAACAAATGCACGACTTCTCTCTTTCCCGACCTCTGCTCTCTCACGAGGCGGCGAACCCTAGCTGCGCCCGTTGCCGCCAGATCCTATTGCTCTTCCGCACCCCGTACGCTGGTGAGTTCCCGCCTCCCACCTCGTCGGGCTCGTGCGATGGTGCAGGTGCCAACCCTCTCATGCTCCACTAATTCGATTGCCATCATCCCAGGCTCCCAACAGATTACCTACGGCACCATGATATTGGTGCCTCCAGCCACCCACAACACCGCTGCCTCCTCATGTCGCTTCTTCGTGCTTGACGAAGCCAGATCCTATTGCTCTTTCGCACCCCGTACGCTGGTGAGTTCCCGCCTCCCACCTCGTCGGGCTCGCGCGATGGTGCAGGTGCCAACCCTCTCATGCTCCACTAATTCGATTGCCACTATCACAGGCTCCCAGCAGATTACATGCGCCACCACGACATCAGTGCCTCCAGCCACCCACGACGCCGCTGCCTCCTCCTATCGCTTCTTCATGCTAAACGAAGCCAAATCCTATTGC